TTTTACTTACTGAGTTTTGATGATCTGCAGGACATTATCTGAATGACTGATGGAGGCAAATCCAAATTAACTTTCAACAATGATTTGAACTTTTACTTAATAAGGAATTGTTTGCAGGGAGAAAGAGCAGGGTGACGGGGCTGATTGATAGCATTTTCAGAGAATGTATGAGCACAATGGATCGAATGACCAATTGTCTGTACGCTTAAGATTCTGTTGTTTGGATTTATGATGAATCATGATTTACTTATTTATACGGTTCCTCTTTCCTGATTAATCAGTCACCTATTTCGCCAGTAACTAGGAAATAATTTCACCAATAATCAGTGTGCTAATGTGTAAAATAACCAAATTATTAGAATGAAAAATCACAGCCCTGTGGCAGCAATAAGCAGGATCCCATCACATAAAATGTGAATCACCAATTGTATCAATCATCCCGATTGTATAAAATAAATAAACAGAATGTTATGCATTAATAATCAGAGCCCAGATACATTAATAATCTGTGACGAACCCCGCCCCTCCACCCAATGGCCTCCCACTGCCCCATTGAAAAGCAATTCTCAGACCTCCCAAAACTTAACTCTCGGTGATACAGATTCTGAGGGATTCGAATGTGACACACTTGGAAAATGTTGGAAAGCATCGATTTAATGCAACCCCTTTCTCGACTTGAACTGTACCATCTCATTTATCCTCCTCTCGTCATTTATTATCGCATCCTCCACATAACATACTGTAAATTAAGGTGAAAGCCCAAGGAACTGAGGGCAAACAACTGACTTGGCTGGGAAATTGGCCGATTGACAGGTGACAGAATGCAGGGAAAATAGGTAGTGCTCGAATTGGCAGGGTCGGCAATGGTCTAGAGATAATTTCACCGGACTGTTAATCCAGCAACCCAGGTAATGCGCTGGGGACCCAGATTCGAACCCTGCCACGGAAGATGGTGGAATTTGAATTCAATAATATTCAGTATCTGGAATTCAGAATCAAATGATGACCGTTAATCCTTTGCTTAATGTTGGCAAACCCCATCTTGTTCACTACTGTCCTTGAGAGAAGGAAAATACCATCCTTATGTGGTCTGGCCTACATGTGACTCCAGACCCAATGCAATGTGTTCGACTCTCAACTGCCCTCTGAGCAATTAAGGATGGATTATAAATGCTGCCTTGCCAGAGACATCCTCATCCAGTGAATGAATAAAGAAAAAGAAAGGATGTAACTCATTGCGTTCTGTCAGGATCTGTATTCGACCTGCAATTATTCATGTCATTTATTAATGACTTGAAATTTTGGTATAAAAAGTCATATGTGCAAATTTGCTGATGACTGCATAAAATTACAAATGTATTTGACAGACCAGGTGACTGAGCAAAATTATGGTAAATAGATTGCAATGTAAGCAAGTGTGAAAATATCAATTTTCAACTGAAACTGCACAGATCAGGACATTCTCTGGATGGCATTTAGTTAAATACAGCGAAGGTTCAAAGAGATTTGGGGGTCAGGTGCATAGACTTTTAAGATGCTACAAACAGGCACAGAAAAATGATCAAGATGGCTAATAGATTGCTAGGCCTTATATTTAGGACATTGGAATATGAGGGCTCAGAACTTATGCTCAAGTTAAACAAAACTTTGGATGCCTTGGACTACTGTCAATAGATTCGGGGTCGAGAGCTTGGGAAAGATGTACTGGCCTTGAAGGGAGCACAACATTATTTTTCAAGAATATTTGCATGCACTTAAGGAACTAAATTATGAAATGATTTTACAGAATGCCCGTTTTCTTCAACTTTAGAAGGTTAAGTTGTGATTTTATCGTTGTTTTCAAGGTATTTATCAGAAAAAAAGGGTAGATGAATGTCCACTGGTTGGACATTCTAAAATTAGATAGCAGAGTCAGACCATTCAGGACAGATGTTGTGATGAAGTTCTGCACATAAACGTGGTAGATGTTTGACACTTTCTTCGACAAACTAAAGTCGATGCTAGATCAATTGTTGATTTTAATTTTGAGATAAATATTTTTATTATGTAAAAGTAATAAGCAATATGGGTCAAAGGCCTGAATATGGATTCTTGCCACAGATCAGCCTTGATCTCATTGAAAGCCATAACAGGCTTGAGAGACTGAATGGCCTACCCCTGTTACTAAATTCCTGACTATCCCATGTCAAAGGCTGAATCGCAAACCTATCTACCCATTCTCTGCTCTCTATCACTCCCAGTTTTCTAGTCCCCACCTCTGCCAGCAGATGGAAAATTAAATCAATGCGTCGAACATTGTCTCTCCAGGTCACGTGGAGAATGGGGAGGCCGCCCATGAATCACGTCACCGGAGCGGCCACACATGCGCACAGACACTACTGAAACAAAATGTCGCCCCAGAAACCAGGGTATGTGCAAACAAATCCTTCGGAGTTTATCAGTGCAGTTCCAGCAGATTTTTATTTGCTATTTGTAGCCTAAAGCAAGTATTTATGAATCCTCCCTGGCATCTCCTTCGTAATACTTCCCTCTGCGGCCCCGCTCCAAACACCGGCCGCCAATGGATAAACCGATTGTCTTATCAGCGGCGCTCATGCAGAGAACACGGTGCAGCGCTGCGCAGTCACATTGGTACCGGTTGGGGGAATAGAGACGTTCACTACCGCGTGGCCTTCTGGGTATATCTACGTCATTGCTCACCTTGTGAGTGTTTTTTTAGTGCGACTACGGTTCTCATTTCGCCCGCTCAGCCTCTCGAATCTCCAATGCACATGCTCTGTGCTGGCTGGCAGTCTTCAGGGCAGTTTTGCCTCTCCTGTGTTTTGCAGTTTGTCAGCGGTGGAGAAGCTGTTTGCACCTATTGAGAGATTCTGAGCCGCATTATCTCATTAATAGAGGAAAAGTACACGTTAAAATCTTTGGAAAAATGACAGAAAACAGTGAACATTATTAACGCCTATTCCTTATCAGTTTCTTGCAAATTGAATATATCAGTAGCAATAATGCATTTGATTGTTTTCAAACGGTGTATTTTTTTTAAGAAAAAGACAATGTCCTGTTTCTCTCATTGTTTTCCAGAATCCAAATTCAGCACCTGCTTTTCATCTTGATGTCCTGAACTCCTGCTGACAAGTCTTGTTGGCAAGTGGGTATAGATTGTCCTGGAAACTATCGGTAAGAGACGTAAGCAAGCAAAAGTTTCTGTAACTGATTGAACGGTTTGAGAACTGGAACCTGAGTGGGCAAGTGGGTCACTGTAAAACTCTGTTAAATAATTTATCCAATAAAATTTAAATCAGGAGTCATATTTTCCAAAAGAACAATTCATAGTGGATGAGTAGTTTCGCTTGTTCGAATTCAGGAGCATCAAATGCGTCCTTGTAAAACATGAGCTGGGAATTCTCTTGGCCAGGAAGAGAACGGGAAGCCAAAGTGAGCAAGTTGCTGCCCACTATCCCGTCTCCTAGAACATTTCACTCCCTTGTTTGTGTAAATTATTGCATATTTATGAGAACTAGTCCCACTTGCCTGTTCATGGCCTACGTCCCTCCGAAAGTTTACTATTCATGTACATATCTAAGAGTCTTTTAAATGTTGCAACTGTGCTGACATCCACCACTTCCTCAGGAAGTTCACTTCACCTTCAAACCAGCCTCACGTCTTTTTTATATGTCTCTATTCACATTAAAAATGCACCCCTAGCCTTGAAATCCCTCATCCTTCGGAAGAAACACCCACCATTAACCTTATCTATATCCCACATGACTCACTTGTGTTGGAGATCTGAATAATACTCATCACACTGGGTTTACCACAAAGCTAATTCATGTGAATTTTATTCTGAATATTCACCTCTAAAACTGTGCGGGTATTTATTAACACCAGTGGAAAAAGACCAAATGAGAAGTGGATGGGTCCAGCATTTGATTAACAGTAAATTCAACTCCTGCAGTCACTAATGAACTCGCTGGTGTCTCAAAGGTGGGATGCCTCAGAGCAAATGAACATCTTCCCCATCATATGAACTCACTCGTGTACAGTGAGGGAAGATGATTTCCTGAAGCCAGTCCTGCAGTGAGAGCACCTGAATAGTCTTTCTTCTGTGTGTAAATACATTGTTATGAAATCAAAGCACTGTGATTTCCAGAACACTTTTCCTCGTCTGGGCAGAGGATAAAACCGAATTTTAAGAATCTCAGTGACAACAAAGCTACTCACACTTCTTGCTGAAGATGAGCATGGATGGGTGAGGGAGAGAAATTCAAAAACGAACCACCTGCAATGGAAACAATAAGATGAAGACAGACACTGCTTTTTGACACAGAGCTGGTTTATTTGATATTTATCTATATTAACATATAAACAAGCAGGCAGTTATTGATATCAGCATAAAAACAGACTGCAAGGAACACGGTTCTCTCCTGGATGTTATTAATAATAAAAATTCAGTTGTGAAGTCTCTGGTGACTCAGCAGATGCGATACTGTGTGAATTCCTTCCCAAGTTAGATATGCTGTGGATATGCTGGTGCCTCAGCAGGTGGGATGATTGAGAGAACCCTGACCCACAGTCAGAGCAGGTGAATAGCTTAGAAACAAGAACAATGTTGCTGAAAAGCTCAGCATGTCTGGCAGCATCTGTGAAGAAAAAATCAGAGTTATGTTTTCGTGTCCGGTGACCCTTCCTCAGAATAATTGTTGTTGTTGTGCAGGTGAATAACTTACCGCTGGTGTGAACACTCTGGTGTACAGTGGGGTAAGATGATCGGCTAAATGCAGCACCACAGTCAGCGCATCTGAACGATCTCTCGTCAGCGTGAACATGTTGATGGAGCATCAGCTTCCCAGAACTTTTATAGCATTTCCAGCAGTGTGGGCATTTAAATGGTTTCCCGTTCGTCTGAAATCGCTGGTGTGTAACAAGGTTTGATAAATTGGTAAATCTCTTCGCACACTCTGTGCAGGTGAACGGCATCTTGCTGGTGTGAACTCTCTGGTGTCTCAGCAAAGTGGATGATTGAGCGAATCCTTCCCACCTTCAGAGCAGATTAATGGTTTCTCCACTGTGTGAACTTTCTGGTGTATCAGCAGGGTGGACAAGTGAGCAAATTCCTCCGAAAATTCAGAACGGGCACTGTGATGACGCCGACGAATTTGCAGCTTTGAAGTATAAAAGAATTCTTTCCCACAGTCTCCACATTTCCATGGCTTCTTGTCAGTATGAATGTGTTTATGTTATGACAGGCCAGTTGATTGTTTGAAACCTTGTCCACGCACAGAACCAGGATACGATTTCTCCCTGCTATGAATGGTCTTTTTTCTTTCCATGTTGAACAGTCAGTGATATTCAGGTTGTGATATGTTGGCAACTCTCTCAGATCCTGGTGTACTGTTTGGCTTTAGTTTATTGACTGAAAAGCCTCCTCTTCTAAAAACCGTGTGAAACTGATTCAGACAGAACAAAGGGAGTGAGACAGAATCCACCAATCAAAAACGCAGGTTATGAAATGTTAACTGGATGAAGCTCGTAATTTGCAGAGTGGAAATTAACAGCAGTGCAGTTAAAACAATTCCTGACCAGTAACAACTCTGTCCGAAGATAAAGGTGGTAAGTCAGCAGCAAAAGATCAGAGTGGAAATCTAATTTAGGCACAATTAGCAGATGTAACAGTAAAATAAAAAAAACAGAGCTGAAATACATCCATTATCAGGGACAGAGGAAGTTAGGCAATGGCAGACTGGAGATCTGGGAGGGCAGAGGTGAAATAGATCAATGATGGGCATGGATTTAGATCCAATGTAAAGGAGCCACGCTAACACCAGACCATGCGAGTTCTTACAGGTTACAGAACACAGCACTAAAACCTTGAACTTGCTCATGAACGATCAGAAATAGTCAACTCTGAAACAATTTCACTGCTTGCAATATTCGAGTCTCCTGTTGAGATTTACAACTGGAGATATCTCAGAAATACGAGAAACAGAGGATCCAGTTTGACACAATACCCTGCATCCAATGGTTTTTTGTTCTATTAAAATTTTGATCATTCAAAAGTCTTAATAAATCCATGCAGATAATATCCACTACACTATCCACATATATCTTCCTTGTAAATTCGTCAAAGAATTCAGTCAAATTTGTTAAGCATGATCTTCCCTTAATAATGCTGTCTATCCCTGACTAATCCATGCATTTCTAACTGACAGTTAATCTGGTCTCTCAGGACTGATTCTTACAATTTTCCCACATGCGAAGTAAGACTGACTGGCCTATAGTTGTTTGTCATTTCCTTTGTCCCCATTTTAAACAACGAAACCATATTTGGATTCCTCCAGCGCATCACACGTGTCAAGTGAAGATTGGAAAATAATCCTCACAAAATCTGGCATTTTCTCCCTGACTATCTTCAACATCCTGAGGAACTATCCATTTGGCTCTGGCGACTAATCGATCTCAATAATTCCTTCTACTCTTATACTTCCTCTCTCATGATGATTATTTTGTCTAATGTTTCACACTACTTCTCCTGGATGACTATATCCACACCATCCCTTTGTTTGGGGATGAGCCGTGCAGTAGATGTGTCTAAACCAAATAGTGTCCCTCAGACACTGTTGTGCTGTGACATGGGAATGAAGTGGGAGTGAGGGAACATCACCCTCTTCCCACTGTGGACAAATCTTTAAGGGAATGTCAACAAGTGACATCATCTCCAAATTTGACTTAAATCAAGGGCAGAGCAGCTGGAGCTTCCTCCTGATCCACGGATGGTGCTAAGTTTTGTCACACCTTCACCAATACAAGGGATTGCACTTTTCCTGCAGAAAGAATAATCATGACGGCGATGAAACTTACTCAAAGACTCCTGACTTGGCCGCACAAAACCCTGTGCAGCTGCTATAAGACTTCTTTGTTTCTGTACTCAAAGCCACTCACAATGAAGGACAACTCCAAATTTGCCTTCCTAACTGTTTGCTACAGCTGCACACTTGCTTTGAATGACACTGAGATGTCTTTGTACAGTTGCATTGCAAAATCTACTATCGACTAGCATTTAATTCATACTTTGCCATTCTGGATTCTCTACCAAAGTTGATAACTTCACACTGATACTACATCTGCCATGTATTTGCTATTCACTCAAATTGTCCAAATAACCCGGAAGCCTCTTTTTGTCCTGCTCAGTAACAATCCCCCTAGTCTTGTA